AGTTGTATTTAGCCTATTTAAAGTTTCATTGTTTTAGCTGTTAAGAAGTAGTAACCTTTTCCAGTTTCATTCATTCAATAAAGGCAATCATTAGGCTATCTTTACTTTGTCATATTTTCTCTTATTCTTGCTTGATCACCAACACACAGTCACCCTAGTGGTGGCTCGTGGTGGCAGTGGCCTTTCTTGATTTTCCAGCCACATCATACACACACAAGCCCTAAAATCAACACACACGACACTGATTCGTGAGATGCACCCCAGCCACCCACCTGGTGGCTCACGGCGGCGGCAGAAGGAGGTTGGATACCGGCAGGCGGTGCTTCGCGATGATAGCCACCCCCGGTGGTGCACAGTGACGGCAGCAGGAGCACCATCGGCGACAACATCGACTCTCACGACAGCAGCAACAGCGGACGGCGGGACAGCGGGAAGAGTTCCGAAGCGGGCGGCTGTCACAGGCCTTCTCCGGCGGCAACATATGGCGCTCATGACGTCGAACACCTCAAGGACAGAATTGTGAGTTAAGGTGGTCTAACGGAGATGTCCTGGCCTTTCGCGACCAGCTCTTCTTCATTCACAGCTCACCCTTCGTTCTCGGGGTTTTCTCCGGCCATGCACGACATGACAGGCGGCATCAGGTGGCGGAATGACAACATTCGTCGATGAGGCAGCAGGCGGAGATGAGAGCTGTCGAACTCGGTGATGCCATCGGCGGTTGAGGGGCTTCTATGGTTATGGCGGCGATCGGAGGTGAAGAAGGAGGGTGGGGAAATGGCGACTGATGCTTAGGGGTTGGCGGCTGCAACACATGCCTTAGGGTTAGGGTTTCACTAGCTATATACCCGACGCCTCCAAAGCCCATTCCCCATAATAACACAACTAGCCCCTCTTCCATAAAACCTTTTCAAAACAGTCCACATATTTACCTATTACACCTTAAATCTTAGAATTCTTTTCATAATAAATCCAACAGTTACTAAACGGCCCCTCCCTTATAATTTATTTTCAAAAGAAGTCCATATATTACCATTAAGCCCTTAGCTCCCAAAAATCTCTTCAAATTAAGTCCCACAACTACACTTTAACCCCTGGAGTTCAAATCTTGTCATTTGACTTCCCGAAACCAACACCCCACTAATTATTATTTAATTTCTGAGCTCTAACAATATAAAAATAATAATAATTACTTCCCGAGGTTCCTGATTTATTATATAATTAACCCCTTTAAAATGGGATGTTACAGTAAGCACCATTAACTACTTTTCCCTCCTATATAAGAACATATTACATGTTCCAGAAAAGGGTTACCTTCCCTATACTCGAAATATGTTCATCCAATTTTTTCTATCTCTTAAGAACATATCAAACAAATGTATTATGTGTTTCTCGATTCGAATTAGGCATGTAATTCAAATTTGTCTTTATTTTTGGATTATCCCACTCTTGAATTGATGTATCTCAAACAAAATGGACGAATTACAAATTTCATAAAGTGTTGTAAAAACACGATCCTAGAAAATATCCAAGTTTATATATTGTTATCCTGATTCCCTAAATCTAACATATCTATATTTTTCTTGCGATGAAAGGTGTGACAAAAGAGGGAGGGATGTCCTTTGTTTATACAATGGGTTACGAAAGAAATTTGTACCCTACATCCTATAATCCAGCAAAATTTGAATTTAAATATACGGTTAATGATTCTTCACACATTAACTAGGAAAGATCATTTATAAGAACGAGTTTAATAGAAGTCAACCGAACCAAGAACAATAATGATGACATAATGAGTGTTAGTTCGATCGATGTATATTTTAATTTAGATGTCGAGATATGGGTTTGAATTTAAGATTTATGTACATTTTTTATTTTTATAACTAGATTTTCACTTGTTTAGGCAAGTAAAATCCTTCTCGGATGTGATTTCTTAAAACAAGCCGAGAGATATGAGTTTGAATTTGAGAGAGATTTCCACTTAAATCAACCCAATAAGTAATAACAACAAATATAAAAGGGAAGAGTACATTACACAGATCGTACCTCATGCAGGTGTCAAAATGCATGTTCAGTCCCTATTTTTAAAAATTAACTCGGATCGTCCCTCGTTTGGTTAAAAGTTGCATGTATCATCCCTCATTAGTTTAAATATGCACGCTTTATCGCTTGCGATGCATGAAATGACTATAATGCCCTTTTTTCAACTTATTTTCATTTAGTTTTAATATTTTTCGATTATTTTTAATTATTAAAAAATATTTTTAGTTATTAAAAAAGACTTTGAATTGAAATTCTGATCCACCTTATCTTTTTAAAACTATAAACCTAATATCTACAAACACACACACACACACATATACTATATATATATATATATATATATATATATATATATATATATATATATATATATATCTTTTTGTTAAAGGATACTTAACTACCACCACCACCGGCTGCACCACCAGCATCACCGGAAGTGTGTATAACCACCACTGGAGCTCTCTTGACGGCCACCATTGACCACCACCGGCTGCACCACCAGCATCATCGAAGATGTGGACCACTGTCAGAGATATGGACCACCGTCATAAATGTAGACCACTGTTGGAAATAACATCACCACCATCGTTTTCCCTCCTTCTGATCTTCGTCTGAAATCCTAGCATTGTCATCACCACTTGAAAACCTTAACGTCGTTAAAACTGATAAATCTATTTTTCACCTGTTGAAACCAACATATGCGTGCTTCACCTGTCGAAACCCTAAATCTAAGGTGGTGGTTGTATATATACGCTGAAGAGATGTACATAAATAAGGTGAAAAGAGGGACAACATGCAGGTGCCACTTTCCTGTGGTTCTAATCTTCGACGACGATGTTAACAAATCTGATGATGATGTTGATTTAGGCTTTTAACTGATTCGTTAATTGTCTTGGTCATCTGTAAAAGAGAGGGAGAGAAGCGGTTGGTTTCGGTGGTAGGCGATGGTTATTTTCGGTGGAGAGGTGGTGGCCGGTAGTTTAAAGCGGTTGACGGTGGTTTCCGGTGGATAAGTGGTGACCGATGGTATCTGATGAAAGAAAGAAGAAAGGGATTTAGGTTTTAGGGTTTTGAGAGTGAGCGTTTTCATTAAAAGTGGGTGTAGGTGTAGTATGCCTTTTCAAAAATTTAATTAATAATAAACAAACAAATTAAATTAAAAATGATAATAATAAAAATTAATCAGAAACATTAAAAATAATTGAAAATATGAATTAAACGTGTCTTTTAACACCTACACAATGGACGATTCGTGTAATTTACTCAAAAGAGAAATTGAGTAAACTATCCATAATTCAATGTGCATTTAAAGAAAATAGATATTTTTTTGACAAAATAACCATAAAGTTTGAAATGGGTAATTCTGGATCAATAAAAATCATTTTTATGACTAAAAATATATATTTCGGACTAAAGTTTCAGAGTTTTGGGAAAAAAATACTATAGAGTTTCATAAAATAAATCCGAAATTCAATCAATAGTTTCGAAATTTTGAATAAAAAAATGTTTTTAACTCAAATCTAACCAAAAGTTAAACAAACATAATAAATAGGAAGTATACATGATACTAAATTTTAAAATTAAATATTTGATTGAAAAACGGTAATATTAAACACTTTAAAATTGACGTTAATGACAAAAATAGAAGGACTTCTTTATAAAAAAAACTCTAAATTTTGAAAAACTTTTCTCGAATAAATCATTCGGAACAAAGTCATAATTTTTCAAAAACTAAAAAATTGTTATTTTCTTTTAGATCTAATTTTCGTGTCCAATAATATATAACTAAACGAAAAAAAAGGAATACAAAAAAACGTTTGTAAAATAACATTTGAATTAGTTAAATGAGGTAACTATGACATACAATAACAATGATGATAAAAAATCTACCCTAATAAATAAAAATGGTTTTGCCACTTGTCCTCTTCTTATTAAATATGCCACATGTCATTTTCTTATAATTTAAGTTTTCTTTTCACATTGTCTAGAAAAAATTACACATCAGATTTCATAATAATAGTAAATATGATGTTTAAGGCCTTTAATAAGGAAAGTCTCACAAAAGGGCAAAGTATATTCCTAATTTATGGCAATTAAATTATGGGAATGATTAGGATAACTTTATATAATTTTAAGTTAACTTTTTAAAAATTAGATGATTTGCCGGAAAATAAACCAGAAATAATTTGATGAACCTTTAAAATTGAATTACAAATCATCCATGCAAACAAATTTTAAACTTATATTGATCCTAATTTAAAAGTCAAATCCTCAAGATCTTGGCAATTTTGAATGACTTTCCATCGGTTTGCATGGAAAGGGTAAGGCTTATTTCAAATTTCGAATTGCAAATTCACCTTCACTTCCGGTCAAAATTATTGTCAGATTTTTCTCTCGAAGGTTCTAACAATAGACACTCCATCTTCAATGCCCTTTATCCTTTCGTCGAACATTGGCTCATTAGTGAATAATGCATGTAATGCTTTCTTTCCCATCTTTTTGTTTTCTGAGTTTTCCGAATAATACATGTAATCTTCATTATGAAATTTTTATACATGCCTTATTGTATGGCTATGCCTCTCACGCCTCTTTTATATTGAATTTCTTCCTTTTTTTTTGTTGTGGGGGGTATTTTGATTTTGTGTTTGATTTTTTATTTTAAGTTCTGCGTTCACGAGAAGCATCTCGATTTTTTATTTTTCTTTCTCTGGTTTTTACCTATCCATTGATTTGTCGGTTCTGTGTCATAGGAGCGACAATGATCCCCATAAATTTCTTGTTTGGTTTTTTAGTTTTTGGCATTGTTAGACTACATCAAGCTCGGTTGATTCCTCACAAATCTTCATACCAAAATTCGGTTTAGATTTTAGTTTATCTTCATACCTTGAAACTTCTTCAATTAATTCAACAGAAGTTAGTTACCTGAATCTACTTAATCTTTGTTTGTTTGGGAGTTCATCATGGATCATGTGATTGGTGGGAAGTTCAAGCTTGGAAGAAAGATTGGTACCAGATCTTTTGAGAGCTTTATTTGGATAATTTTTTCCTTCACATCATAGCCTTTTTGTTTTTATTGTTCTTATGTAATAGTTTTGTTGCATTTGTGAGTGATTTCTTTTTCATTTTAGGAGTAAATGTTCATAGTGGAGTAGAAAATGCTGTAAAGCTGGTATATATCTAGGGTTTTACATTTATTAGGTTGTAGAACATTTTTATACCAATTCACACAGATATATTTTGTTTATGTTTTAAAAAATCTTTAAAACTAAGCGCCCTAAGTTTCACTATGAGGCCAAATTCTACATGCTTCTTCAAGGAGGAAATGAGTTTTATATATTTCCGTTTTATCTCTCTTTTCTTTTTCTCTTAACATCCATTTGAAAAAAAAAATGTAATATACCATTTTGTGGATATCACACAATGTATTTTAATCAAATTTCTAAATTAACAATTATATAAATTATATAAATGTCCTCTTTAAGATTTACAAAGTGTTGTATATAAAAAATGCTTAATATTTAGATTTTTATATTTAATTGTTTTAATCAACCCGTGTAGTACACGGGTCTCACAACTAGTAGATTATTAAATAACTTCGATTTACATCAACAATAAAATAGAAGACTCCACATTCATAAAAACAACATGATTTTTTAGGATCCATCGAGTTTAAAATTCACGTTCATGTTGTTTGAATATTCACCGTGTTTCAAATTCGCCGTCATGTTCTTGTGATCTTTCTATTTCGTTCTTTCCACATAATCTTTATTAACAGTAGCAACAAGATTATTTGCAGATCCATCGACTTCCATGGTGTTGTTCTTGGGATGCTCATTTTTCTTTCTTTCAGCACAATTCTAAAAAAAAAGAATTTTTCAAGAGAGTCTCTTATTCTTTACTCTTTCAAATCTCTCATTTGCCCATTCATGTAGGGAAGCGAAGTGTGTTGTCCTACATTCGTGTAAAACTCTTTCCAGACATAATCAAATTTCTTGTTCTTGTCATGTTCGTTGTTCGTCGCCATTTAATGAAAGTGGGTTTTCGTATTGTTGTTTTTCTTGTTAAAGACAAGACAAAACTGCACAAATGGTCCCTATGGTTGGCTCAAAATTGCCACTTTGGTCCAAAAAGATTTGGACTAGCACCAGAGGTCCAAACTTTTCATTTTGTTGCGAGTTTGGTCCGTTTTAAAATTAAAAGAAGTTAAAATGACCTTTTTGCCCTTGTTATTTGTTTTTTTATTTTATTTTTATTTTCTTTTTATTTCATCTATTACATTTTAATTAATAAAATACAATTAAGTCTCTCTCTCTCTCTCTCTAACCTTCCCAACACTTTTCTTTTCATCTTTTCCATGACTCAATCTGAAAACTTAAATTGCAATTTGAAAAATGAATCTTCATCTTCTCCCAACGTAGGAAGCTACCACCGAAAACCCTAGCTCCGGTGAAATAGGATCATGTTCTCAGATCCCCGCCCTTCTCTCCCTCTCTTCCAGATCTGCTAACCCTTCTTTCCTTCTATCCCAAATCCACAAACCCTGTAAACCCACCTTTCTGATGCGCCGTAGATCTACAAACACACCTCTAGGAGGTGATGATGAGGGAAGTGGTGGAGACAAGGAGGTGAGAAACGCCGCAGGTGTAAAGAAATTTGTTGACGCCGGTGAGGACACCGGTGACGGCCGCTACGGAGAACAACCTAGTAAAATATGATGTCGCACTTCGTCTTCATACAACCACTTCAACAGATCAAATCGGAGAAGGACGGGTCCGGTGGTTGTTCATATCTGAAACCTTCATCCCAAACGACCACAGCTTTTTTGACTTCGTCTAGCGCCGTCGACACTGTCGTTGCTGGAGATCTCACTGATGATAGCGATGTTCCAGATCTGCGACGAAGGGCGGCGGCTACGAAGGACAGGGTTAGGGTTTCTAGATCTATAAATGATGGTTGAAGGCTCGACGGTAAAGGTGTTCGAAAACTGATGTGTGTCCCGGTAGGGGTAATAAGGAGATGAAGGTGGTGTTATAAGAATAAAGGTGGAGGTTACAGGTGGTGTTTGGCGGAGGTGCTGCTTTGGGGGTGTTTGCAGATCTTCACCGCCGACTGCTTCGTAGTTGTTGGCAGTCAAGCAAAAAAAACAAATAAGAGAGAGAGAGAGAGAGAGACAGAGAGAGAGAGAGAGATTTGTTTTTATTTATATTTTTATTTATATATTTTTTTAAATCTAAATATCAGAAAAACAAATAAGAAAAAGAGAAAATCATAATAACATGGGCAAATCCGTCATTTTAAAAAAATCAAAACAAATTGGACCAAACAAGCAACAAAATAAAAACTTTGGACCTTTGGTGCTAGTCCAAACTTTTTTGGACCAAAGTGACAATTTTGAGCAAACCACAGTGACCATTTGTACAGTTTAATCTAAAGACAATGATCAAAGTGTATATATATATATATATATATATATATATATATATATATATATATATATATATATATATATATATATATATGGAATATTTTTAAGAAACTAGTGAGCAATATATTTATGACATCTACGTGTTAAAAAGGATATATTTTATTAATTATTTATGTATTTTTTTAATTTGACATTTAAAATAGGGGAAATGACTTTAGATATTTGTTTTTGTACACGGTACTTTCGAGAAAATGATCGAGCAAACTAAAGAAATGTTTATTTTTGTTCCACCAACACGAGAGCATTTTATAATGGAATTAGGCAAGGGGAGAGTAAAAAGAGCAGCCACGGAGGCGGTAAGGAGGTTGGCAGGTGCTGAGCACCTCTAACTTGTTTAATGTATTTTAGTTATGTTATATGGTTACTCTGCTTTCCTTTTAGTTTTTTTAATGTATTTGTTGCTTTTAGTTTCAACACCATTGTTTGATATATGAGCCTGTGTTGATGTGCTTTCAATTTTTACATGGTCATTTTATTTCATTTTAATTCTCTTTAATTAAAATGTCTAGAAAAATATATAGATTGTCATTAATATATATATTGAAGTTTATATATTTTTAAGATAGGTTGTATCATAAATAACTTTACATTAGAATACCAAATTTGTTTATTGTAGTGATTATAAGTATTTAGGAATAATTATTAAAATATTTAGTTATGAAATCCAAATATCCTTTATGATATTTAGATAAATTAGTTACTTGTATTTCTAAATTATATTTAGTTGTGTAATTTATAATTTAAAAAAATGTCATAATTATATAAATGATGATCATTGGAAAATATATTTTACCCTATTTGAACAATTTTTTTAGATACATTACGGTTTGCATACCCAATTATTTTTCAGATATATATGTTGTTTAAAGGTGATATATCTATTTGCTTTTATGCAACACCAAAACTAAATTAATCTTTCCCATTGCACTTAAATTAAAGTTAACAACCAATAGATTATTATTATGAAGTCATGTACCTCCCCCCCCCCCCCCTTTATATAAATGTATGGCTTCGCCCGTGAAGCCCCTGAAAAAGAGGCTTCGTGTTGAAGAAGGTTTGGAATAAAATGGTAAATGATAACAAACTTAAGAAAGGTATGAACAATTGTGAAAGTTTCAAGTGACATAATAGTCACCCCTTCTCCTTCTCCTTGTTTGTGTGGGTGGTGAAGGTGCAATACGTTAATGTATGGATGGTATGTCGGGAAAAATGGCATCAAGGTGTAGTGGTGTTGATTATGATGACATGTACGGAATTGATAAGATCTAGTGAATCATCATACACATCATGAACACATGAAGTAAATAAATTTGGTTTAAGCTCTCATTAGTATGTTAGAAAGAGTACAAATAGGTTTGCAATAATTCTCTCTCTAAAACTAATACTCTCCAAAATGAAGATTACATAAATGAGTGTCACTCACTTCCTATTTATAGGAAAGACAAATCATTACACAATACAAAAGGGTAAGCACTAGCAACATCCAAGCGTAACTTTGCACCCTAACATTCCTCCCCCCCCCCTCTCAAAGTTAGGATTGGATGTCCCGGCTTCAATATTCAACGAGCTCGTGCGATCAAGACTAACTCCCCCTCGAAATGATACCGGTCTTTAAATCCGCAAAAGAATACCTGAAGCTTCGAATGCCCTCTCTTCACTCTCCCTTTTATTTAATAAAAAAATAATTATAAAACCCATTAAGGGTGAGAAGCGCCCGAGGAATAATCTTCACATAACTCCCCTTTGATGTGTGCAAAAAATGAAATCACGAAAAAACTTGCATGGAAAAACAATCATGAAAAAGTCACGGAAAATTTCCAAATTTGTGAAAATTTTCGACTTTTGGGTGAGAGTTTCAAGAATTTCCAAAAACCGGGTAAAAACTGGCATTTTCAAAATTCTGTAGGGACCCGTTGCGCCAAAAACAACTTAAGATGCGAAACTCTATCCCATTTGCGAAACTGGGCATAAAGTGTAAATTCGCATTAACTGCAAGGGCTAAACTGTAAATTTCTTCAATTTCTCAGCTTTGTTAGTCTAATTTCGAGGTGGGGTATTTTCTGCCAAAATTTAGAAACTGTAGGGACTAAATAAGAAACTTCATCCTTCTTCACAGTTTTTACTCCAAAGTCGAAGTTGGACTATTTCTGCCACTTCGTCAAAAGTGCAGGGACCCAAATCGAAACATGTGTTTTCTTCTTCCCAATTCGTTACACGGACAACAAATTCGCTTTTCATGTACACTCTTCGCTTTTAGTTTCAACCTTTCTTAATCAACCAGAGGAAAGTCAAAAACGAAGTCATTCGAACGCTGAATAGTGTTGGATCATTCAACTTTGTTCTTCGCTTTTCTACAACCATCGACCACAGTCCTTTGCTTTTAGCTTTCAATCTTTCCCAGGCTTCGCTTTTCAGTAACACAATCTTCAAACCAAGTCGATTTCAACCCAATTGATAACAACCTTCGTTCTCAATCAACTTCCCAAACTTGATTCAAAATATCACTAAAGTCGATTCTACAGTTTATCAATCGACTCATCAAAATAGCTAAACTCCAAAATTGAATCCTCAAAATCATCAATCCATCGATTCTACACATCAAGGACTTCAATCCTTTAAATCAATATCCAAATCGAAATTGCTCTTCCTTCCCCGGTTCACTTCCCAGATGCGAACAAGAACAACCATCACTCAATTAGATGTCGACTCCATTCCATTCAAAATATCAAAATCGAAAATCCACGCTTCGATTCCTATTAATATACCCTCAATACTTCCAATTCCAAGTCCAAACCATGATTCGAACATCGATCGACTCCAAGTTAACGAACCTTAGACCACTGACAACGAAATCAATATACAGCCATGATGTCACAACCTTCGCTTCTCATCGACATCATAATTCTCATTACCAGTCAACAATTCAACCATTCATTTTACACATCGATCTCAGAATCATCAACCGTCAATTCTTAACCTCATCATGTGAAATCAAACGATTTTGATTTTAAGTATGATTTTGATTTTGAGTTGATCTAAACAAAAAATAATTGGATCAATCAATGAGGTAAAACGGATTTGATCGAATGAGACAAATCGATCAAAAATGAAAAACGCAAAATATGAATTGAAATTATGGACGTTTTGGAATCCATTTGAGAATTTGTGATACCTTTTTGATGATCCGAGTTCCATTTGCAACGAACGAATCAAATTTAGAAGATCTTGGTTCTTTTGTTGGAACGATAAAATCTCCAATTTGAACATTGTACCACCCACAATGCATGTTGTACAACTCATTCTTCGTGTTCTTCAACGATCTAAGAACATCTTCATAAGAATCATCAACACATTTGAGTTTTGACTTCAAATTTAATGCAACACTTGGAGATTGTTGCTTTGGAACCCAAATTTGCTTCATAGATTTCGGATTTACAACAACATTTGACGATTTTTGTGTGTAAACCCGTTTCTTCTTCCGTTTCATCTTCTTCTTCTTTTTCTTTCTCATCTTTTTGCATCTTGAAGATTTGATTTCAAGAACACCTTCATTCTTGACAACTTCAACTTTGCAAGTTTGAATTAAATCTTTTGGAGTTTAATACTTGTGAATTTCTTGGATTAACGGCTTTCGATAAGGAATCATTCCTTCAAACGAATGACAAGAACACAAAATATCATCAGTTTGAACTCCAATCGAGCATAAAACTTTTTCATCTTCATGAGAATCAACTTGAACTCCTTTTCTTGAACATCAAGAACACGATGAACATCACCAAGAACATGTTTATGAGCTTCACGATAATCTGCATAATATTCAAGTTTATTTCTTCCATATTTACATTCAGCAGGAGGAATTCCTTTTATGACTTCACATTCTTTCTTATTTCTTCGTCTCTCTTGATACATTGTAATCAATCGATCAAACAAATTTCTGTTATGACAAAGTGGATGACTAACTAATTCTCCAACCTCATTCTTTTCTCCACTTGAAATGAGTGTATTTTCACTTTTCAATCCATCAGTCAAGCAATAAAGAAAGGTTTCAAAAGTGTATTCACCTAGAAAATATTCATTATGTATCAACCATTTCTCCATAATTGTTTCTTCCCTTTCGAATAAAACGATATGAACTTGGGTTTTCTAGAGAGAAAGTGATTTAAATGGGTTTTTTATAAAGAGAAAGCAAAAATCACTTGAATTCTAGTGAATAAAATCGAATCAATCAAGGAACAATTCGATTTATAGAATCCAAAAACTCTCTAAAACACAAAGATCAAAACACAATGAAGAATCACCAAATCAAGAATGTCGTCATGGATCAATTCTTGATCAAATCAAGAACACCCGCTCTGATACCAATTGTAGTTGTGTTGATTATGATGACATGTGCGGAATTGATAAGATCTAGTGAATCATCATACAAATCATGAACACATGGAGTAAATAAATTTGGTTTAAGCTCTCATTATTTTTGTTAGAAAGAGTACAAATGGGTTTGCAATAATTCTCTCTCTAAAACTAATACTCTCCAAAATGAGCATTACATAAATGAGTGTCACTCACTTCCTATTTATAGGAAAGACAACTCATTACACAATACAAGAGGGTAAGCACTAACAATTTCCAAGCGTGGCTTTGCACCCTAACACAAGGATCCCCAACAATCCTATCCATAACAATATTAAAGAAAATAACATAACAAAATAATATACGTGGAAAACTCCTAAACCAGAGAAAAACCACAGGCTTCTATAGAGACGGTTCACTATATGATAAATTGCACGGGCTTCTATAGAGACAATTCACTATGTGATAACTTGTTATAATCACATAGACCAATATCTCAATGCTCTCCTAAATTACATGCACACCCTACAAAGTGTTAACTAACACTTTCAACAATCTAAAACAAGAAAAAAAATAGAAAGAACTAAAACTTTAAATGTATCAAGTTGGGATGCTTTGAAACCAAGGTCTTACTCTCATTTTATAAAGTTGGAGAGCACACAAACTTCCATCCTTGTGCCAATGTGGGATGAGAAAACTGATAATTTCCTTTTATTTATTTCTTTTCCTAGTTTATTTAGCTCTTTTTCATCTCATTTTAGTTAGTCTTCATGCATATTTTCTCTTTTTTGTTATTTTTTCATCTTTATCGGGTACTTTCTAGTCTTTTGAGCTTACTTGTAGGATTTATCGAAGACTATTCAACACAGAGGATGGAGGGAATATGAGACCTTTGGAAGCTCACAGTGTACTTGTGGGCTTGAAGTGGTGCAATTAGGCTTATTGTCAACATGGTGATGGAGCAAGTTGGACTTAATCTTGGTCGAAGAATGATGATGATGTGGAGAGAATTTAAGCTATAAAAGATCAAATGAGCAATGGACCATCTTGAAAGAGTTTAGAAGGCATATTTGGGCTGTCAAGAACCTTGCAATTAGGCTGGATCAAGATTCGAAGCATTGGAGAAAGAGACCCATTTAAAGATGGACTAAATTGGCCCATTCAACACTTACACGCGTTCCACATGTACTCCCAACCCATCTGCGTAGATCGTGCAGTGAAGGATCTGGATTTTAGCCTTTGCCTCTAATTGGGGAAAGTGGGTAGTGTGCTTTTTGGGGAATTTTTTTCATTCGGGTTTTAGACCCTTTGACTGAACTTTTAAAGAGAGGGGGGGGGGGGGGGGGGGGGGAGGAGGAAGAACTCTTGCAAGAACACACATTTTTTTCTCTCTAGAAGATTTGAAGATTTGTGGAATTTTTCCATCTTTCATCTTGAACAATGTTTGGTATTTTTAAACTATCTTGTTTTTCCTTAATCTTAGCCATGCTAGGCTAGATTTATCATTGATTGACTTTGATGTAATTGCTTAAATGATTTGGTTATTTTGAAGAACTCCATGAACTTGTGTTGAATATTTATGATTATATTTTCTATGAAAACTTCCTTCATGTTTATATATCTCTAGTCATGAATAATGATATGTACATGTTATTTTTGTTGGTTAAATTATTGGCTAAGTAATGGGTCTTCATTTTAACAAGCAACCGTTAGTTTTAATGTTTGTTTTCATTCATTTAGACTAAGAAAATATTTTCTCCATAGTGGTAATGAAAGCAATAGATTAATCTTTGGATTTGGTGACTCTTAAAACCTAATGCTAATTGATTTTCACAAAATTACATGTTTTATTAGTTTTGTGACTTTGATTTAGGAAATGTGTTATGAGTTTCTCTAGTCATTTTAATACAAAAGAAGAGTTAAGACAAGTTATGCTTATAAATTGCTATAGCCAAGTTAGATTTTGAACGCAAGTATTGCACCTTGATATTCTCAAGATTATTTAACCAAATTTTCAAGTAATGATTATTTAACCAAATATTCAAGTAATGAAAGTCCAAAGCCAACCATCTTTTTCTTATTTATTTTACATCAAACTTTGCTTTTGTTGTACCGTGTTTTTAAATCTTAGTGTAATTCTAGTTTTCTTTTAAAAATCTCAAAAAGATCAAAATCCCCAAATTTTATTGTATTTTAGTTTGATGATATAAAATGTAATTGTCATTTCCAAACTCCTTATATTAATAAAAGAGTAGTTCTTTTGTCCATGTGACATTTTATTAGGCTTCCTAATTAATGTCACATCACTTATCAACCTATTGATAATTATTTCAAATTTCAATTTAAAATTTTTCATTTTAATTATATTAAATTAATAACATTAGAATAAAAAATAAAATTATCACAAATTATAAGGTGCTATAATTTCACGTATTTATTTGAATGAATGGTTATAATTTTATATAACTAAAAAAATCTCTTAATTAATAATTTATTTAAAATAATTGATTAATAATTTTGAGTTTTTATTATGAAATTTTAATTAATTTCGTAACCGTGGGTTATAAACTAGTAACATATAATTAAATGAAAAATTATGGTATATACAAATAAATACTTTAAAAAATAATATTGGAATTAATTAAATAAATTAACTAAGACCTACAGTAACAATGATTTAAAAAAATACATTTACATCAACAGTAAAATAGAAGACTCCATAAATTCATAAAAGGAGTTACTTTCACATTCTAACATCAATCTCGACAACACCCTTGCTCCTCCCCTGCTGCACAAAGGTAGTACGCTATTAAGAATTAATTTCCCCCAAATTAAAAAATAAAAAATAAAAAGTTTGGTTTCATAATTATTTTATATCATGATAACTAGGAACCTTTGATATCACGATGCTTGTTTCGTATTTGAGTCCTTGCCTTGACAAAAATCGAGTTATGCGACTTGTGAATTCGCTGGTGAAACGTACACAAAATGTTAGCACAACCACTCAAGTGACTCAACACCATAAATCCAAAATTAAAAATTAAAAACATATATATATATATATATATATATATATATATATATATATAAAGAAAAATGGACCTGAAAGCTGTCTTCACTTCTTACATGGGGAACAAAAAGATTAACAGAAACCTCATCACGTTCAGCAACATATAAATTTCTGCCTAATTGTTTTTTCTCTGGTTTGAACTTGAACACATCATGTAGAAGTTCATTTTCCTATTTTGCAAATTAAAAAATATATATATTTCAAAAAATAAGATAGAAATGATTAATAAAGGGAAATCTCTAGGAAAATCCTTATATTTTGGCCTCACAATTGATTTAATCATTATATATATTTTTATTTTATCAAATCCCCAAAAAAATTGGCAAGTGTTTAATGTTTTGCAATTTGATTATTTTACCCGGTAAACCGGGCACCAACAAAATATAAGGATTTTTTCACAGATATGGTCAAAATATAAGGATTTTTAAAAACATATATTATTTTTAATTTTTTAATATTATCTTATTATCTTATTATAATCTTAATGTAATAGTTTTTGTGTGACCCAAAGTATTATATTATTGTATTTTTCTGCTATTATCGTACAATATTTTCTTTAAAATAAACATAAGAATAAATACGCTTTAGAAGATAATTCAATCCGTTAGACAGAAAAAAATATACTAAGATAATAAGATAATATGAAAAAAGTTATATATATATATATATATATATATATATATATATATATATATATTTAAAAAAATCCTTATATTTTGATCATATCTGCGAAAAAGTCTTTATATTCGGTTGGTGAGTAAAAGGATCAAAATGCAAACAATTGCCTTTTTTGGGACTTATAGAATAAAAAATATATAAGGACTATATTGATTATGAGGCCAAAATATAAGGATTTTTCTGGAAATTTCCCATTAATAAATTATAAAGCACAGAGGGTAAAGAAAACCCCACCCTCATGTGTATAATGAAACCAGAACCAAGCAACCGCTTCACAAAATTAAGCTGCATAAGATGGATGATAAGATACAAAAGGGAAAAAAATTATACACCGAAGAAAATAGAAAAAAAAAAAAACATTTTTGGGAATATTATTTATTAGCTAAAACAAATATACCTGGATTTGATGAGGTAATGTGTTGACTTTTAATCTTTGTTTACCAATCTTTACAGAAATTTCCGGGATATGACCATCCTATCATTTTATTAAACACGTTGTACCTTACACAAATCATATTATAAAAATAGAGTTACTTAAAAAGATGAAAACTTTACCTCCAAAATTTTCTCAACATTTATCTCCTCCATTGCTGACGTGTCACCTTCAAACTTCTCAAGGCACCCTTGTTCAAATATTAGGGCTAATGCTTGTGTGGCTCCTTTGACAGTGGATTCATTGTCTGATTCTAGTAACTTCTTGAAGAAAGGAATCGCCCTATATACAAAACACTTTCTTAATACTAATACTGATATTGATCTGATTAAAAAAAAAAAAAGAAAAAGAAAAGATAATGATGAATTAATTACCCTCGCCAATGTTTATAACTGAGAGTCCAACTATCCATGCTACTAAGAAGGAGGGACCAACAAAAAATTGCTTCACTTTGAGCTTCCTGTTTCCAACTCCAAATTTTACAATTATCCAATTTCCAAATAATGAAAGAAAGATATGACATGTAATGAACATTTTGCCTAAGTTGCCAGTTAGAGTATACAAGATCTAGTAATTTTTTATCATGAAAATACCTTGAAATCTGGTCTTGAATGCATGAAATCCCACATACTTTGCATAGATCTTTCTGTCTCCTCCAATTCATTTCCCCCAACGAATGTGATAATAGCCAAACTATCCAATATCTACCACAAAGTCTTGAATTAGTAACAATAAGTAAAATAGTAAATCAAAGGATTTGAAATAAATAATAAGAATACAAGGGGCATACTAGTTTTAACTTCTGTGGTTGAGATTCGGTGTTAAGAGCTTCTGAAAGAACTGGGGCTGTTTCTTTATATAGTTCACGACTCTTTTCTCCACAGCCAATGGTGATAGCTAGTAATCCTGAAGGTTTAAAAATATTCCAAACTGGATAAAGGAAAAAAAATATATATATTTCAGTAAAATAGATCAAATTACCTAGAACCTCAAGAGCCAAACAACTCTCTTTAATCGAATCCCTTTTGAAAGATTTCAAGCATTGGTAAAGTAACTCAGTGAAGCTGCAAAAACAGAAGAAAATTTTGTCTCAATTTCCTTTTATACTAACTACAAATTATTATATAGCTTTATATATAGATAGAAGAAGTACCAACTTTTTTTCAGAAAATTGGTATTGATAGCCAAGGCTATAACTCAGGATTATTGAAGAAAGTGCAGCCTCCCTTACAGACCCCCTAAACAGTCAGATAAGTGATCAGCAATTAAGTTCATAGAACATAAACTTTTTACACTGTAATAGTTATCTTAAAAACGCACCTTTTCTCATATAACTGTTCTAAGAAGTGGTTCAAACGCTTTGACCCTAGTTGAGCACTTGCAGTTGTGCATTCGTTGATATCTGTGTCACTGTCAAAATCTGTAGCAAATTTTCCACCTTTTCGAATCTCTGTATCTTGATAGGAATTCTGTCTTCTTCTTCCCATCTTGAATTAGAGAATTAAGCTTCGCACAACTCTCAAATCCTGTACAACATTAAAGATATGCATATGTTAACACCAGTAATTTGTTTTAAAACAGAACTTGATATTAGTTTGGTAATGTGGCAATACGTTACAACACAAGAACTAACAGAAATTGTTCTGATTACGAAGTGAAGCCCCATATATATGTATAACGAAGTCTAACTTTCAAAACATTTGCAAATCAAGAGATACTGCTACAATTACGAATACCCTAATTGAGTTGCAGCCGTAAGAGGAGAAATCTAAGATATTAACTATGAGACATTGATAAGAACGAGTTTAACCTGATATAAATCGACCCAATTAGGAACAATAACGATAAAAGAATGGGTGATCTTTCGATCGATGTACCTTTGAAATCAAATGCAACGGCAGCCGAGATATGGGTCTGAATTTGAGGGTTATGTTCATTATTAATTTATTATAGCAAAGATTTTTCACGAATAAGGCAATTAAAATTTTAAAATCCCTTCCGGATTCGATTTCTGAAAACAATCCGAGAGATAGGTTTAAGTTTGAAAAAGATTTTCACTTGGATTATGACCCCCAATAACAAGTTAACAACTTTAGGGATGTTTGGGAGAAAAATAACCTGCATTTTCACAAGGACTCTGCGGGTTGGGCCACTTCATTTCCCTGCAAAATGGTTGGGGTCTGCTATGTGATGGGCCGTGATCCAAGTATTTAACCCACCAAAAAAACTACTATTTATTTCTAAATTCTTTCCAAAAAAATTCCCAAAGATTTTTGTGTATTTTTTTAGATTTAAGATTTACACAATAAAATAACAAAAACAATATATTTTATAGAATTTTCGCCTGTTTTTTAGTAGGAACCCAAGATTTTTGCATGAACTCCTGCCAAAATATCATATTTCCGTAATAGTTCCTGCAAAATTGTCTATTTTCGTAGGTTTTCATCATACAACGTATAGTCTATGGACATGAAATCAATATCTTCTAATTATGAACTTTGAATCCATATCGATGTTATATAAATCTAAGTATTTGATCATACCTTGAAAGAATTATGTTTGAAGTTTTCTAAAAAGATAAAGTGAAAATATGAAATTTGGGTTTATTATATGGGGAAAAACTATTGGACCAGTATTTTCGCAGGGGTTCCTAAGAAAATACAACAAAACGAGGTTGTTTTGTGATTATTTTTTTTGTCTAATTTCTAAAACAAGATTAACAAATTTGTCTATTTTTTTCTCCATTAAGGCCTAGGCAATAAAGAGTTTTCAATTTTTGGAAAGGAAGATTTTATAAAATTTATTGACTTACATAATAAACTTTAGATTAGTTATTTTCTCCTTAACTATTTATTTATTTAAGAAGTTTTTGATAAGTTACTTTTTATTATACATATAAGCACAATTTACAATAAACTAAAAAATAACTTATCAACTTATATGTTTTGATACCAGATAAACTAATCTATTTTTTTAAACTCCATCTTGACATCGGATAATCCAATCATCATTTTTACTTAAAAAAACCTAAATTGTTTTAAATTAGAGCATAAATTAAATATAATCGTAAGGTTATTTAATTACATATATACAATTTGAAAAACATTTTTAAAAATGACTATTTAGGTCGTGTTTTACGGACCACAGCTAGCTGATAAGCTATCTTATTTTTCCGAGTTTTTTTTTAAGTTGTCATGTTTGTAAAACCAAAAAGTAGCTTATCAGCTAGTTTTTTAAAAAGCTACTAGTTTTTTAAAAAAATTTCAAATATACTAATTAATTATACAATACATATTCTTTTAAATGTTATTTTATATATTTCAGTTAGCTTATCAGCTAGTTTTACCAAACATCATTTTTTATCAGCTAGTTTTTCAATATCAGCTAGCTTTTCATATAACAATTAGTTTTTCAGCTATCAACTAATACATAAAACATAGTCTTAGATACCGATTCCAAATTGGATCACACCAAGAACAGATGTTAAAAAAAATCTATAACTGAAAATAGTATTTAAATAATAACCTTAATATTCATAATATACTCTCTCAACCTTATAATTGAAATTTTGACACCAAACATACGATTGTAAATTACAAACGCAATAAAGAAATCCAATTAACTAGAAGTCAAAGTATGGGTGGGGCTTTAGCCAATAATAGGCTTCTTACCTTTTCCTTATTTACCAGTGGGCTCCAGTCCACTTTCCACCACTAAAACAAATCAAAGAAGCTTGGTGTCTTATTTGCTTTTAAAGAAGTATAAAATCACTAGGGTTTGTATATCACACCACGCGTTTAGGTGTACATTCGCACGCCATGCACAAAAAACAACGAAATATGGGATAATGACCCGTAATGTATTTTTTGATTTGTACACATCTAGTCACTGACTTTTATTTTCGTCCACATTTACTCCTTTAACTTGTTAAACTGTACACATTTAGTCCTTATGACCGGCTACTCTAGGTTAGCCGGTAAAAATGACTTAATAGGGTAATATATTTCTCACTTTGTACACATTTAGCCCTTAATATTTTTGTTTACATTTAGTCCTTAATATTTTTTTGTTGCAAAATAAGTCATTTTTGTTTTTGTACTCATTTAGTACTTATGAATGATTTCTTTAGGTTTTTCTCACGACATCTTACGTGGGATAGCCATATGGTGGTGGGATAGGTTGAGGTGGTTCTGCTATATGTTGTAGGCCAAGATATCTGGTCCGGCCCGGCTGTAAGGTGTAGGCACGGATGCTAGAGAAGAGCGGTTGGGTTTAGGTGGCATGCCGACAAACCCTGGGTATTCCAGTCTGATGACTGATTGGACCTGTTGCATGTTGGCATTCCAATCCGATAACTGATTGGGCCAAGGTATGTGATGAGTGTGGGCTCGTTATGCATGATAATACGTTTGTTGTATCGAGTATTTTGGGGAAAATTCACTAAACTTTGTGCTTACCAAGTTGTTTATGTTTTCAGGTTTTATCGTTGATCGTGGGAAGGCGAAGACATGATTGTACACACTCATCAATAGTATTGAGGATTCTGCATTTCTTATATTACTTTGATTTTTTATAAATGTATTTTGGAATAAACGTTTTTTCTTCATAATGGATTTATAATTAGGGACGTTTGCCTTATTTAAAAAATAAATTTTTTTGGGAAAATGAGACGTTACACATAAACATCAACAGCCCTACACACTTCATCAATGATTGTCTCACGTAAGATGTCGTGAGAAAAACCTAAAGAAATAATTCATAAGTACTGAATGAGTCAAAAAACAAAAATGACTTATTTTGAAACAAAAAATATTAAGGACTAAATGTGTACAAAAATATTAATGACTAAATGTGTACAAAATGAGAAATATATTACCCTATTAAGTCATTTTTCCCGGCTAACCTGGAGTAACCGGTCATAAGGACTGAATGTGTACAGTTTAACAAGTTGAAGGGGTAAATGTGGATGAAAAAAAAAAACCCAGTGACCAAATGTGTACAAATCGAAAAATATATTACCCTTTTAAGTCATTATCCCTTGAAATATTTATAAATATAAGTTTTTTAAATATGCAAAAAAATAACTATATAGTTGAAATATTTATAAATATAAGTTTTTCAAATATAAGAATGATGTTGTTATTAACTTTGGTACAATAATTCATGTTAATATAAAACACTGATTATTTTGAATAATAAGATAAGGTCGACATCTATCAAGACAATATGATCTCAATCGTCTCAATGTCATATACCCACAAGTTACTCATAAACAAAATTAAATATAATATATGGTTTTATGTTATTTATAGTTTTGGTTGTGATTATTGATTTTTTAAAAAGTTATTGAATTTCTATCATTGTAATTATTTAAAACATCAAACTTTGTTTTTGTTTTTAACAGTAATAATATTTTTTTATATAATATTACTTGTAAGTTATTTATTTGGAAACACTTAATGATTATAAAAATAATTTTAGAAATATTTTTAGTTAATTTGGGATAACAATTTAGGTTTTGCATTAACTTGACAATTTACAAAATAATCTATGGATTTTTTTTAAAGTTTAATTGACATTTCAATTTAAGTTAACCTTAATGCTTAATTAATTTAGGATTACAACGTAGGTGTTGCACTTATTTAACAATATTAACCAATTTTATAATCATCATTACAAAGAAATTGCAAAGTCATGTGGCAAAAGGAAAAATCTTTCTTTTATAGTATATGATAGTATAGTGTGTGTATATATATATATATATATATATATATATATATATATATATATATATATATATATGTAGAGAGAGAGAGAAAGAAAATGTCACATTTAATCTTGTAGCATTCATGTTGATAAAAATTAATTTTCAAAACAAACTCAATTTTTTCAACAAAACTTTACCGACTTATTTGCGGGTTGAGATGTTTAGAACTGCTTGACCTAACTAGGAACTAATAACATGTCGACGCAATGCATAAAGATGAATGAACTTAAGATTAAATGTCGATGTCACAAAATATATTTTGAATGCCGGAATATTGCTCACAGATCAAGAAGCCATTGATTTTCGTAAAGTCTTGATCAATATCATAAAGCCTTAATTGACATTGACATAAGATTAGTATTGCACACTTAAATTATAAGACGGTTGGGTGTGGGTCAAAAACGTCGTGGAGGAGCCTATGTGACACCTCCATAATGGCATTAAAACAAAAGGAACACCACCCCCCAAACTTGTTATGGTATAATTCGTTGGCGTTTTAACATTTTGAAACGGGAATAACTTTAGTTTCATTGGTGGCTTTGCTTTCCGCACATACTCTCTCTCTCTCTCTCAACAACATGTTATAACATGTGAACAACACCCCATTTCTATTTATTGTATAATAGTGTTGTGGTGGAATGTGAGGTGGCAGGTTTTTGGTGTTATAACATCCACCCATATCGATTAGTCTAAGCTAACTGCTTTTGAGTTTTTTAGATTGCCTTGTCAAACCAAGAATTACTTTATAGCTAGCTTTTTAAAAATCTAAACACTTCAAACTGACGCCTCACAAAAAGAGGTTTTCATTCCAATTCCTTTGGGTTAATAGCTTAAAAGCCATTATTTATACATTCTCGTTTCGATTTAACAGTAATTTTATTTTTTGTCTTGATTTGCCATTATATTTTAGAAAATGTTTTATTTTTCGGCCCTTGACGGGTCATCAACAGGTAATGATAACGTGTCGGTTTTGCATTTTTCTCGGTTTGCATTTAGCCCCAACATTTACGTATAAGTTTGCGTTTAGCCCAAACATTTTTTTGTTCCCCATTTACCATTGTTTTTTTAGAAAAAAATTCACTTTAGCCATTGGCCAGTCACGAATAGGTATTTTAAAACGCAATAACTTAAAATAAAAAAAGAAAAAACGGAGGTAAGAGTCGAAACTGCGACTTCTCCTTGAGGGCGAGACGTGTTACCTAGTAAGCCAATGACTTTTTTTTTTTGTATTATCAATGTTGTATATAATCTACACATGTATTTTAAAATGAAGGAAAAATACCTAGTGTAAGTCTTGAGTCTGTGACATCTAATAAACAATATGATATGCCAATATTTGAGCTAATCAAAATTGTTA